TATAGACACAACTTCAGGGGAAAAGTGATTCATCAGGACCTAAAAGAGCATCTGTTGCCTTCAAGACTGGGAGATTGTGGGGTTTTTTTTAATCCTCTTCATGAAGCCAAGCACTGCCAGCAGGCTGGGCAATCACTTCAGCCATTCAGACCTAATACTTTGCTGTGAGGGTGCCTTACCAACATTGCAGAGGGAGGGGGGTACAAAAGCAGCAAATGGGCCAACACTGCCTGCATTTCCAGTGAAACATGTGAAGAGCTTGTTGTACAGATCGTGGGTGCAAAGGAACCTGGCAGGGAAATAACGGATTTGCCTTGGCTATGAGAAAAGCAAGTGAGGTCAGTCAGAGCGTTGAAGACACACATAGCCTACAACTGACCTCCAAAAAGCAAAGTGAGAAACGTTACGTAGTGCCAGAGGCGAGGTGGAGTTCACTCAGTGTGTGCTTGCAGTGCATGACCATAATGAGATCACTTGTCCAGGACAAACTCAAAGGGGAGAATAAATGACTTCTGGGATACAGGAGGGAATTGACAGAAATTGAATATTTCAGGAATTTTTGGTTGCTGAAGTGTTTTCTAAAGATCCCTTTGCTACCCAGCTACATTCCTCAATTTTTACATCAAGGTTACTGCATCATTATTCACTTGCTGGTGTAAAAGTGTACTTGCCTTGTACCCAAACTCTCCTTCATGTGACCCACAATATTAGTGGAGTTACACGGGGAGTTAGTTTGGCCAGTGGAAACCACTAGAGGGATCTCAGAAATTTGAACCAAGAACTGGTATAGGTGAGATTTCCACCTCTGATGTGCACACTTATAAACATCAGATGCACTCTGCATTGAAACAGGCAAGGAAAGAAGCGGCTGCAGGATCAGAGACATCCCTACACAAATACCTCTGGACCATTACACTTCCTACAGCACTGACCCTTCAGCACAGGTCATCTTTCTTGCCAGGCTTTCTGCAGAATCCCCGAAAGTCTAGTTATGACCATCAGCCTCAGTCTTCATGCATGGCACCTGCTTTGGGGTTGAGCTATTCAGAATTGGTTCAAAGACTTAAAACAACAAAATGTGAGGCATATAAATCACTTGTCTGCACTCATGTCAGATGAGGAAACATGATTTGTTTGTGCCATGTTGTCTTATAACTCTTTGACTTCCAAATGCAGAGCTCCACTACCACAACTAGTTTTAGCTTCTGTAAATTCTCTTTGTGTACAGATGTATGCACAGTGCTTTACACACACACAGGGAAAATCCTAAGGATACTTTTTACCTTTCCATTAAAGAGCAGTAGTCATGCAAATTAACACCAGCTGAGGGTTTTGTTCATCCAGGATAGAGATTTATTTTAATAATAATGTCTGTCAGGCTTGAATAACGTTAGGGCATACTTTTATTCCCCCTTTTTTTTTTTTAACATCTTTGTGCTATGAAATTTTCATTGGGTTCTAATACAGCTACATGCTACAGAAAATATTCAGTAGCATGTTCCATGAATAAGCCAGACTGGAGAACGTGAATGACCACAAACTGTACTGATTCTATTGCTCTGCTTGCTCTAGACAGAGAAAAATGAATATGTAAGTTCTGCTGATGCTGATACCATGTTTATAAGACAATGAAAGTTGACTCTTCTAAAAGCTGAGCCAAAAAAAGGTAAATATGAGTACAGGCCCCCAACCTGAAAAGGAGAAAGCTCTGTGTGAATGGCCCCGGCCCCAGACATGACACTTGGTGATCGTGGGTGACCAGGTACTCAAAGAAGCTTAGTTATTCTCAACAAACTTATTGTTGTCAGAGAAGCACTAGTTGAAAAGAGATTCTGCGGGATCCAGCAAACTCTTAGGTGAAATAACATTTTGTTGTCTGTGTCAAAAAAAGTCAATCCCCTAAAAATATCTCAAAATCAAATAAGCCAGATGATAGGACCCATTCAGCTCTACAGTGCTGGATGATTCATCTCTTGCCATTCTTCTCCCTCTGGCACCTAGCCCGACTAGCATGAATCACGTGGTTCATTTATCAGAATAGATTCTCCTTCCCAGTCATTGCAGTCTGTATCAAAGATGACTGCCATTTCTGCTTTTGTTTACTTTTATTCCAATTATTACACTGGCAATAGGTGCTGTACAAACACGTAGTGAGAGGCAGTCTTTCTCCTGAGGGCCCTCATTTAAACAGACATGACAGCCGACATGCAGGAGAGGCAAAGAGCTGTCCCTCCCTAGCTCGGCCAGGGAACAGCTGTGCCACCCTGAGCGAGGAGCATGTCAGAGCAGAGCCCGAGGGAAGCCACACGTACCCAGACCACGGTCAGTGCCCTCATCTCATGCCGGCCAGAATATTGTCTATTAACCATATGGCAAAACTCTTTGTGTTAGAAAATCCTCTGCAGTAGGTTAGAATAAAGAATCATTTTCTGAGCAGACCTGGAATTCTGTCTGCTTGTAGGGAGGCCTGGCCTCAAAGGAGAACATGAACATATACAGCAGTTGCAAGACTGCATTTTTAACTTTCATGCTGTAAAAACCTGACATGCACAGTCCTTTTTTTTATTTGGTGAGAACTGCTGTACTATACGAGCCTGTGACGGTCTATTGGAAACAGACCCCTGAGTAGGAAATGGAGAGTTTAGATGTTATAAACTGCCAGTAATTTATTATTTTGAGATTGGCATATATTTTGGCAAAGTTAAATTTGGCTGGAGTGATAGTGAGTGATGAAAGATGTTATGGCTGTTGAGAAGTGGCTGAATTCCTTTGTTTCCAGACTTTTCACTTTTTTTTTTTTAAGGCGCAGAATGTTTATATAGAAAGTGTAATATTGTTTTATGAGTATTTGCTGGACCCTGCTAAAACCAAGCATTCAAGCTTTATTCTTTTAACAAAGTGTTTTGTTACGGAATTCCGCTGGGGTTTGATGTTTCTAAATTAGGGTTAAATCAGGTTGGTATGTGGGGGCCATGGGAGAACAGCCCAGAAGTGAGAAACTGTCTGATGTCTAACAGGGTGCACTTCCTCTCCAGGAGGTGATGTGATGGCAGGAAGAGAGAGGACTCCTCAACTGGGCATGAAGAAGCCATAACACAGGGGCACAAAAGGGGCAAAAGGGGGCTTTTAAGCAGTGGCAAAACTTTCAGCATATTAAGAGTTTAACATCTTTAATGCAAGACCCTGCCTGCCTCTTGTCTCCTCTCTGGGCCACCAGAGCCTGCTTGTTTCCCACGTCTCACTTCCATTATCTGGGACACATAAGCACTTTTAGCCCCATGGTTATAAACTAGCATTCCTCCCTCCTGGTCATCTCTATTTTCCCCTCCAAGACTGTGGTATATGATGAGCCATGATACACTCAGGAAACACATTCTTGTTTCTGATATTTCCCTGCACATTTCCTCTACATTTATCTCCTCCAAGTCAGCTACTCACAAAACTTGTTGGCTCCCTGCCTTCAGTTTGGCCCACTAAACCCTGGAGTCAGGCTCCAGCCTTTTTGTTTTTACAATAAAGGACAGCCTGCATACAGAGCTCTGAGGCACAGGATCCCAGGACGTTGTAGCAGCACGGAGAAAACTTTAAACCGTTAAGACATGAAAGCTGCTACATCACACTCAACTCAGCGTTTCATTGCTGTGAGCCATTGCATCAGGACTTCCTTCAAGCTGAGTACAAGTAAAAAGAGCAGAGTCTCTATGAAAGCTAGGGAAACCCAACTCTAGACTAACTCACAAAGCTTATTAGGAACAAGAGAGTCAATTTTCTGATTGTGTCATGCAGTCTGTGTTGTGATAACTTTCTGAGTCTGTAATCTCCCATTTAATACTTCACTTTAATGAAGACCTCACATAATGCTTCTACTCTGCTCCAGCCTGCTTGCATTATAATCTTCATAAATGTCTTTTCCCAAGTAGCATTAAGCACTTCCAGTTGCCAAAAAGATGACGCAAAGGTTGTCTTTCCTGCCCTAGCGATGCTGGAGAGCAAATAAGCCAATAAGGAAAAAGTGGGGGAAGAAGCAAAAGAACTTGCTTCAGAGAAATTTAAGAACAAGGTATATGAACCCTCATCCCTACTGAAATAAAAGACCAAACTGCCAGTGGCTTCAACAAGGTAAGCATTATACCTCCAAACTATACAATTATTTTTTTTTCAAACTCCTAAACATATATATAGATTTAGCTTTGCACTGTGAGGCCTCAGCTGGAATACTTTTCACAGTTTTGGGCACTGCACTTCAAGAAAGATGTGAACCAACTGGAGAGAATCCAGATGAGAGGAACAAGAATGATCAAAGGTCCAGAAAATGTGATGTATGAGGAAAGACCAAAAGAATTGGGTTTGTTTAGACTAGAAAGGAACAGTCTGAGGGGAGACATGACAACAGTCTTCAGACATGTTAAAGACTGCTGCAAAGGGGGAGACAAACTGTTCTCTATTTCTACTGGAAGTACGGTAAAAAGCAATGGATTTAAATTACAACAGCAGAGAGTCAGATTAGACTTCAGGAGAAACTTTCTATTGGTTACAGCAGTTATACCTGAGAAGACATTGCCTATGGAAACTGTAGGATCCCATCTTTTGAGGGCTGGGTACTGGTATAGTGGGGTCTGCTTTGTGGCAGAGGCATGAATGATAAGACTGGTCCAAGTCCTGTTCAGCTTATTTTTCCCAATGTTAGCAATGTAGGAGAGAGACTGCGCGTGAACAGAACAATTCATTTTTTCTGAAGGAATTTGGACAGGTCTGAGCTGAGTGGTCTTTAAACAGGAGATTAGTTGCAGCCTTAACTACAGAGTTAGTATCACTACCTTATAACCATTACAAACTGTTTGCAACTATCACACTCAGGAAAACAGGGAAAAATAAAGTTCTGATTCTTATCTGCTCTAAAGTCCCTGGACACTATTCTGGCAGTGGAGGCCTGTGTCAAAGAGCCTGGGTGTAAATAAGCATAACATCCTAAATAATGTAAAACATACCATCCAGTGATAGATTTCTATGAACTCTGTTATATAGAAAGATTTAATACAGGAAGGAACCCAAACATGTGACACTTTGTTAGAAAGTAAAAGATTACATAGTACAACATGTATTTTGGAATGAATTTACAATGAATTTTAACTATAAAATAGAATCAAAGAAAAAAACGGGTGAAACTAAGACAAATGCAGGGTGAATTGAGACAAAGTGCCTGACTGATAATTCCAGAGATAATTGGGAATGTAAGTTAGCACTTCTGAGATCCCTTGTTTCAAAAGGTGGCTTTTTGTTTCTGTTTCTGCTTGTTTGTCTGCTTTCCATTTATAATGAAAAAAAAAAAAAAAGGCAAGATTGCAAAAGCCAGCTTTTTCCTCAGTTTCTTTGGTGCTTTTTGCTAAGCAGCCTTGGAGCTACAAAGGTTCACAGTCTTTCAAACATAGACTCATACCCTAGAAGTGTTTACAATGGAAAGGAGAGTCCTTAAAATATATGACCACATAGAGAATCATATGGGATCTGCTGACAATACATCTTCAGATGTCTGCATCCTGATAGGGACTGTGCATGAAGAGGCCTCCCTCCTCAGACAGGCATAGGTCACTGGGTCTGTGGAAATACTGATTTGGTTTGGAGCTGCTATACGTACTGGCTTCTGAGGAGAGAGTTCTGCAGAGGAGGAACCGTCTCTTTTGTTTTAATGTTTCCAGGGCACAAACTCAAGGTTTAGAAGGAGTACTGTGATACGTATATCCTCAGCCGGATGACAGAGCTTCCTCTGAAGTTGATAACGGTGTTAACAGTGATCATTTCCAAGTCCAACTGAATAGTACGGGGCCCCTTCACGGGGCGGGTCATCACCAGAGTAGCACTGATCGGTCCCGTTTGCTGTACACAAAACAAGAGAAAGCAGGTGAGATTTTCAAAACCGGCTCTTGAAAACTATTGTCTCACTATGGTCTTCAAGCAGCCAAAATAACTGTTTTCTGTTGCATTGTTTGAAACCACTGGAATTCATAGGAGAGATGGCTTTGTTTCAGCATTTGGCTCCATTTCAGTGTTTTGTAGGAGCTACCACCTTCTACAGTTTGTAAAGCCTTTGGGAGCCCTGCACATAAAAGGAGCTATTGCATAGAAACTTGCTATTGTCCAAATGGAAAAAGATGAAAACATGGATTTAGGGCATAAACAAGTCATGACACCTTTTTTTATTTTGTTTGATGTAAAGAACGCTGTTACTGTGAAGCAGCGAACACGTTAACAGAGCTTGGACAACAGACGTTCCTACGTGAACAGGATCAGGGTTTGTTGTATACTTGCATATGTTAACATCGCAAAACCTTACCCTCTGAAGAGGGCTTTAGATACGTGAAAGCACTTCAGAAAATCTGTCTTTTAGTAAGTGGAAGCAGGCCTTTGAAACATCGGGCCGGAACAGTGGATTATGAGCATTTAAAAACCAGAGCTTCTGACGTTAAAACCAAGCGCAATTTGTTTTCCGGCAGAAACTTCGGTACACAACGCGGGACCTGGTTTACCACGAAGCCGGGCGTTTGCCTTCTCTCTGACCAGAGGAGCCCGGCGGAGCCGTGAGGAGGAGCCGGGCGGGCTGCCCGGGC